TGTAATGAGCAGTTATAAAACAGATACTAAAACTAGATTGCTGGTAAAATATCTCAAAGATACTAAAGAAGTTTTATGGAAAAAATTTAGTTATCAATTACCAAACAATATTAAATATACAACTTTTATAAAACTTTTGCAAGGAAAACAATATATCTATCAAGAAAATCTTGGTGGTCTTTGCTCAACTTGTAATCGCTATAGCTATGAAGTTTTTGCCGAAATAAGTCGATTTGTTGAAACAAATATTCAAGACAGTAATATTCAAGTAAATAATTTATATACCTTATAATTTTTTTTTCATTTGTTTCTAGTCTAAATATATTTTATTAACATAAAAGAAAAATTATATCAATGAATTTGAATATTTACAACATTATTTCAAAAAAACATACGAACAAAAATTTAAAATCTCAATCTACAGAGTTCTGATTCATAGTGCTTGTATTAGTCACTGCCTCTTATATGCCTTTGGTATCTGTAAAAAAACACATGATCATGAATGTAATGAATGTAGTCGATTGTTTAAAGTTTTTTATCAACTGAAAGAAGATATGCCAATTATATTATATAATGAAATAGATGAATACCGTGAGCTTCTTTTGTATTATCTTGCTCATCAAACCCACAAAGCATATCTAAATACACAAGTAAATGCTAGTTTATTAGAGTTAGATGAAAAAGGAGCGCTTATAATTGTAGATTATAAAATGAAAATATTATCCAAAAGTGCTATCTCTTGCCAATTATCTTAAACAAGAATATTTTTAACTTGCTTGCTAAATATACAGAAAAATTTAAAACAAAAGCAGACAAAGCCTTGATCTCTGTAAAAACTATATTGTATAGTCATCTTTTCTTCTTTTCTCTAACAAGTTTTTATTTTTGTTAGTTATGTTTTCATTTTTGTTAGTTATAAGTTTAGTACAAGTGATTGTTAGAAAGAGTTAATTATATATAATTTAAATTTTTTAAAATATTAAATATATTTACTTAATATATATAACAAATATTAGTTATTAAAACTATTTTTAAAAAGAAATAAACTAATTGTTGCCGGCGATAACAGTCACTGGAAAATGATTAACCAATTAGATTGTATAATATTATAATCAAAACAAAAACAATACGTCAAAACTTACTATTATTAGGGTTGGAGTTAGAGCTATAGTTAAGGTTTAGGTAGAACATAGCATATAGTAAAATTTTGCAAGGAATTTTTTTTGTTAAAACGCAAAATGTAGTTTCATAGACTGCATTATGAGATAATAGCGATTTTTTAAAAAAATCAAGTTTTTTACATTTTTCACATTATACATGATCCTGTAATCTAATTGATTGATCATACTCCGGTAACTGTCACTGCTAGCGACAAATAGATTTACTCTTTTAAAAAATAATATATTTAGTAAATTTTATTTTTAATAAATATTAAAATTATTTTTTTTTTAATTATTAAATTTATATAAACTTTAATTGATGATCTGTATAACAATAGGACAAATTTATTAGTTGATAATAGGGCAAAATTTCTGATTTATATAATAAAATAAAAAAATAGAGGTTTTTTAAGGTATAGGTAACATACACTTATCTTTACTTTAATTGTACACAAGTCTGCCAATATATTTTTTAATAATCAGAGAACTTGCTAATTTGTTTTTATTAAAACTTTCATAAGAACAAGTATGACTTGTATATGTGGGCTAGTTAGATTCCAGTATTAAAAACTAATACTAATTGGTCTGTATAACACCTAATAATGCATTTCTCAGTAATTAATTTCACACAAATATGCTAATTAACAACTTCAAAGTATTCACTACCACTATTGAATATTTATTAGGATGGTATTTACAGTTGAGTTTGAATCTCTAATGTTATAGTTTCATACAAAATTTTTAAACGAGCAAGATCAAAAAGCTTAAAAACATTGGATGAAAAATCTACAAATTCAATTTACAAGACAACTTTATACTAATATGCAAGATATGTTGAAAGGTATATGGTTAGAAATTGGTGAGGTGCAGGATACTGATATAGAGTTAAAGCATTAGATAATACTATATACTTAGAATTTTGGAAGCCAAAGATTAGCTACAAGCAAAGTTTGAAAGAAAAGAAATTGTCATCTATATTCAATACTAAAATACTTAGTATACCTGATTAATATTTTAGATTTTTTCTCATGCTTGAGCCATTATCTTTGCTACTTCTTGGCGATATTGGTTTGCATAACGAACGATCCAATTTTGTATAGTATCTAATTTTGGTACTTCATCTTTTTCAATTACTCTATTTTTTACGTATTGTTTTAACTGAGTAAGCATACTTTTAGCAGTATGTCTTTCACTTTTGTTAACATTACCCTTTAAAAAATATCCTTCTAAAAGGTTTTACACTTTTTTTGAAATTTATTTTCCATATCTCTTCTTTCCATATTTTTGTAAAGATTTTAGTGCCTATCCAGAAGCCAATAGCTATAAAGAAAATTAAGAACTATAAAATGTTAATAGTCAGATCATTATTAGTCATGCAAATCACCAATTGCATATCTCGAATCCAAAATTGTATTATTTTCAATATCTTGTATTTTTTCAATATTTTTTTTTTCTGTAAGTTTTATTTTGTACGTTGATTACTTGAGAACTACTATTCTTGCATATAAGTATTGATTTTTACTCGAGGTTAAAACATAATTAGAATTTTCTGAAACTTTTATTCACAAATAGCAAGCAATACAATGAACAAATAACATATGCATATATGTACCTAACATTACTATCTTTATTCAATCTTTCGTTTTCAGATAAATTTTAAACATGGTTTGAAAGTGGTGAAATTGAATTACATTCTAAGTTTTCTGTAGCAAATGATAGGATAAGCTGGATTTATAAATCTATTTAGATTTTATAATGCATTCTTTACATACTTAATGTTTTTTCTAAAGTTTCTTTTGCTAACATCAATTCCAACTCCTTTACTAATTCTTTTCTGTTTATATTCATATCTTTTAGAATGCTGTAAATTTCTAATTGTTCTTTTATATTCTCTTTTTTCAATCTTTTTGCATGAATATCTATAAAGCATTTTAGAATCAATTATCTTTACCAATTACTATGAATTAAGACAAGATTTACAAAACTTGTATCATTAGGCAATGAAATCGTTCAAGGATTTTTAGGTATTGAAGGTGTAGATATATCTGGATTTGGTTTTTCGATTAGTTTCAATTGTAACTTTTCTAAATCTCTCAGAAAAAAGGTTGTCCAGATACTAATATTTGCAATATCTCTTGCCCGAATATAACCAGCATACTCTCCTGTGATTGGCCATGACTATTTGAACCAGTTTGAAATACCAGGTAGTTTATTTTTTGCTTTTTTTTCCTTATCAATATCTATATAATACTGTAATAAATAAATTTATTTCAATATATAAAAATCAGAGTAAAATTTTCAATATAATTAATGTACTCTTTTTTTTATTTAGCTCTAGGTGAGCTATTGAAGTTCTACAAATTTCAGAAATTGTATTTTCAATATCCTTTCCTGATGATCATCGAATCCTAATTTTATATATCGATTAATAGCATGCGTGATCTATTTATTTATTATAACGTAAGTCAATTATAATATGGTTTTAGATAAATT